ATTACAGTATTCATTATTACCTCACCAAAAGTTTTGTATAAGCTTTAAGAACTCCATGTATATAGAATATTTAAAACATGGTATACACTGTGTGATGGTCAGGTAGCGGCAAAAGTAGTGGCGGTTCGAGTGCTTTGTGTTACCCGCTTTCAACACCCAGCTCTTAATGTCCTTCTATAGTGTTTCACATGATTAATTAATTGAAGGTCATTGGCCACAGAAGTGTTTTACGGAACGAAGTTGAAACGTCACAGGACAAAGTAGGAAGTGGGTATAACTCAAAAAACAGCTCTTCATATCAACCTTTTGGTGGTTGTTGGAGTAGAAAATTCAACTGAGTTTAAGTATTATTGTAATAGTGGAGGCTATTTTTACTACATTCCTCCATAAAGAGTGCTGGTGCACTTTCTGAGATATATAAGACGTTTGTGTGCCCTCCCCTTACACTGTATGTATGTTGCTTTATAGAAAATCTGATTTTTTTTGTTTTTGGTGTGAGGACGTGGCAGCATCTATGAATATAGTTAACTTTAACTTACATCAAAGATAATAAATGCTCAATAACAGCAATAAAGGGTGTGGAGAGGTTATGAACCACCCATTAACATACACTTTTTTCCAAACTATCATCTCAAAAAGTTTGGTTGAGATTGGCCCAACCACCTAGAAGTAATTAGATAAGGAACAAACAGACAGACACATAGATTTTTGTGCTTTAAACACAGACACACACATATACACAAAAAACTTTTTAGACATATATATATATATATATATATATATGAAAGTGCACACATTATAGGTACCTATATTTTACATACAACAAAAAAATCTATGATAATGGAAATGACCTATATATATTTAAATAAAGTATATACAGAAGTATTTATGCAATTCTACTTACAATACTTACATATATAAAAATTAATAAAACCAAAAAGGAAAATATAATAAATATATTACAATAAATACATATTTGCATTTGTAAGGGAAACCAACGCTTCCTACATTTACTGGTGCCCCAACAGCAGATCCTCTAGTGCAGCAATTGACTTTTGGTGAATCGTAGTCGTCTGATACATGGTCTTTTGGGCTCTAATGAGAGCTTTTCGAGTCTCCACCAAATTGATCAAGAGCAGCATACTTCTTTCTTCCAGCTATAAAGAAGGATTCTTAGACTTCAGGAGATGGTCTTCCTCCTGGTTATAAATTCCCCTGGCCTCCATCCTCCTAGCTGCTTGTTTTTGGCAATGACACTTTAATGTTGGTATCTTATGAAAAATAATAGGATCAATTCGAGTGGGGTCACTGTTTGGTTGCACAGTCTCTCCTTATATTTAACTGGTTAGTGTTGTGTTGTAATCTGGTCACTGGACGTTTGGCATGTTGATTCCTCTAGAAATTTCAGGTCCAGTCTATCACAGCGTCTGTAAGATCCTGCATGGCTGATAATTTGGCAACCAACTCATATTCATCCATCAACTCTGATCTTACCTAGCAACTGTTAAGTCAACTCTCAGAGTAATCAAAGATGTCTTAAAAGTTTCTTAACACGTAGCTTTCATCATACTTACTCTCTATGTTTCATAGTAGCTTCTTGGGTTTTGTAATAAAGATGAAAACTTTAACCGAAAGGCGTTTTGAAAATAATATAGTCAGAAGGGTTAAGAACTTGATTTTACATAGCGAAAGACTGGATTGAAATAAAACTATTGTCGTGGTCAGGTGACCTTTCTACAGGCTTATGTGCACTCACGGGTATATTGCCTGTAGAGAATATATCCCTTTCACTCGTGGATGTCCTTGTCCCCTAGGCTTCTTGTGGTCTCTCAATTGACCTACATCCAGTTGTGGTGGACAACATTTGCCATTTTCATGACACCAGTTCACAATTACTTTACCTTGGAAACCAGCCATTTTACTTTTTAATACTATCTGGTTGTTATATAAACAGTCAGTCAAGAAAGAAATGGGATAGTGAGACTGCAAACTCTAATTCCTACACAAGTAGCCAAAATAGGCAAGTCAATTTATGGGTCATAGCCTCGTTCTTCTGACTAAAGAAAGGCATTAACACCAATATCTCCTTTTCTATCACACTCTATTTGAGGTACAAATTTAGCACGGTTTAAGACAACAACAAAGAATACTGCATGTGTGTTACTTCTTATCTCTAGTTGTACACTCAGAATTTGAAATTTCGTTCATTTCAGTCCTACCTTTATTGAAATTAAGTCAAGAACATATTCAGCAAGGTTTTCCATAAAATACTTCAATCTGCATGATTGAAAACATTCTAAGATAATAAAATAAAACACTAGGTGCAATAAGTTTACATTTAGTATGACTTAAGCTACTGTTTGTGAATTTCACTTTCTACAAATAACTTCACCTACTCATGAATATTTCAATATGATACAATGAAACTATTATTTGCTATTACTAACAAGAATGACAGGATGAACTGTGTTTTCTTCTAATAATAGCGTGAGTCTAATCATTACTTTAATTTATTCAATAGAAATCCACTGCTGAATGAATATTTCTATGTCGAATCTGAAATATTCTCTCACCAGCATTAATGAAAATATCAGGTGCACTGTACTTTCATATAATTCCTTAGAGACCAGTAATCACAGTTAACTTTATATCTCCAAGTCGTAAATTCCAGATCAAATCCTTTATTTTCATTCAGGTGCTGCATGATAGTTCTGTCTTCAGTTTGTTATGCAACACTAATAAATGGCTGCTTGTAATATCCACATGTGTGCAACACCACATACACATGTATTTATTCCTACATGTGCATTGTCAATGTATATACATCTCAATATTAAACATCATCACATTCACTAGTAGCTGTAGACAGACTTCCTCTGGCTCACTTGCTGCTATCAAGATAATCTACACAGGTCACCTCTGCTAGCTGTATCTCAATAACTACTGTGCTATAACGTGCTCCCATATAGGAGCCATTAAACCAGGCATGTGCAACTTCCTCCAGGCCAGATAGCAATTTTAAAATGTACTTGCGGGTCACACCGTATAAAGCAAAAGTAAAATTTAAAAAGATTACAATTTCCTTAGCAAACTTTCTTGTTATTACCATAAAAACGACAGAAATAGAGTAGCATACAGTGAATGAGAGTGTTATTCAAATAAAAGTTATGAAAAATAAAGTGTTTCATAACATTCACTGTAACAGTAGGTGGATCAGATGCCATCTCAATGGGTGAGAACACAGCCTCAAAATATATCAAAAGCACTATGGTGAGAATTATTTTTGCTTACTACCCCTCTCGCCATGAGCATCCTTTACTGTCCATGTTACGAGGTTTTTAGTCAGTTATATTAAAAATGTAATTAAATTATTTTTGTTTATGTTATAACAATTGGTATAGCAGAAAATCATAGCTAATAAGTTTTAAGGTCTTAAATTTATTAGGTAATATTTAAAAAATTCTGAATTTCCACTAGTGTGAGAATTGTGACATTTTTTTCTCTAGGCATTTCTTTAATTTATTTACGACCCTATCAATAAGTAAGAAATTTAACGTTAAATT